TATATCTACATACTACCTGGTTATATACGTAACCACCACCCAGATTAAGATATAGGACGTTTGCCCAAAAATGTTCCCTCATGCTTAGAGGTACCCATTGCTTCTAGGTAACCACTATTCTAATTTTTATCACCATAGACTAGTTTTTCCTCTTCTTAAACTTCGTATAAATGAAATACAGTATGTCTTTTTAAATCTAGCTTCTTTTTTTCAACATAACATTTTTGGAGATTCATCCATGTCTCTATGTATCAATAATTAACTTATTTTCTGTTATACCGAATTTGCTTATCTCTTATTGAATCGTTTCCAGCTTTTAGCTGTTATAAATACAACTGATATTAAGATTCTTGTGCCTAAATGAAGTGAGCTGTCAGACCATGAAATGACATGGAGGAACCCTAAATGCATATTACTAAGTGAAAGGAGCCGATCTGAGAAGGCTACATATTTTGATGATTCCAACTGTATGACATTCTGGAAAAGATAAAACCATGGAGACAATGAAAAGATCAGTGCTGGTGGGCAGTGGGCGAGATGAATAGGCAGAGCACAGAGAACTTTTAGGACAGTGACAATCCTCTGTATGATTTTATGGTGATGGATACATGCCACTATACATTTGTGCAAACATACAACACCAAGAGCAAACCCTAAGATAAACTATGGACTTTTGGTGACTATGATCTATCAATGTAGGTTCATCCTTGGTAAAAAAATGCACCATTCTGGTGATTGATGTTGATAATGGGAGGCTATGCAAGTGTGGGAACAGGGAATACACGGGAAATCTCTGTACCTTCCTCCCAATTTTATTGTAAGCCTAAAACTGCTCTAAAAAGCAGTCTTTTAAAAGTTAAAAAAATTTCTTGGATATGTCTTTTGATGGACATATGACTTCATTTATCTTGGGTGTAAGGCTAGGAGGATTGCTAAGTCATAGAATATATGTATATTTAGCTTTAGTAATACTGCCAAAGTTTTTCGAAGTGGCCAAACATTTTATACTCTCTGCCAGAAGTGAGAGAAAAATTGCTCCACATCCTCATCAACATTTGGTATTGTCAGTCCTTTTAATGTTTCTTTCGTGGTGGGTGGGTAGCGGTATCTCATTACGGTTTTAATTTGCATTTCTCTGATGACTAATGGGGTTGAGCATCTTTTCATACGCTTCCTGGCCACTGGGTTATCCTCTTCTTGTGAAGTAAGTGCCTTTCCATCTCAGCTTCATAATTTTCTGACAACTTTTCTTGACCTTTTTTCCCTAAATCACAGGGAGCTGCAAAGGCTAGAAAAATCTCCGATGGCACCAACAGACCAAGGGGTTACCCAGAGGCCTGGCTTTTCCATTGTTGCCTTTTGCCTCTACTCACGCCACCTAAGGATTCCTGGTTTGTGTGAAGGTGGCTTCTCCCCAGTTGTCTTCCTAGGATGGTTCTCCCTGCCAGCAGACCAGGCCAGGACCAATGTCTGGAGGACAGTAGCATCTGCTTCCCTAGTTTACTCCGTTTGGGCTCAAGAGGATTACTGCCAATGTTAGCAGGGCCTAAAGCGTTCTTGACTAGGCAGTTGGAATTAGGCAGTCGGGGAACGGCAAGCTCTAAGGGTCTGGATCTTCTCAGGAGTCTATAAAGACAGGTCTGCCCATAGGCAGAGAACATGGCTGACGGTGGTTGCAGAGCTCCGAGCTGAGCTGGCAGGCACTGGGCGAAGGCCTGCTCCTCCTGCATCTGGCCCAAGCACCCGATCTCCACCCAGCCGGCCCACGCTGGCATGAGGTGACCTCAGCAAGTGTATTTTAATCACAGGAATTTGCATTACACCAAAGGTCAATAAGATGACTTCTCACTTTATTATCATTATGATAGAAAACTTCAAAAGTCACCTAATCTAATTCCTCATCTGATTCTTGAGAGACGGATTTCCAGCAGATGCTTGAATACCTCTTGGGACAGAAAAGTCTCTACCTGTGAGACAGCCCATTCTGCAAGGAGGCAATGTAATATAACATGGACTTTGGAATTAGGCACACTTGGACTTGAATCCAAGTCCTGCCACTCACTAGCTGTGCCACGTTGGGCAATTTCTTTAACTTCTCTGATCCTTAGATTTTCTCCTCTGAAACCTGGGGCTTAGAGTAGAATTCAATCTATAGGAATGCTGTAAGAATTAAAGATACTGTAACTGTAAAGCATTTAGGACAGAGCCTGGCACATAGTAACATAAATAACCCTTAGAGACTCTTAGAGAACTCCTTTATACAATTTAGGCCAAAACTTCTACACTGGAATCCCAGTTCTAGCTTCTGGAGTGACATCAAATAAACTCCTTTTAGCTTCCAGTGGGAGGGACAGCCTCAGACAGTGTCGCATGATTGGGAAGCACGTCTGGGGAAGAATGAACAGGCCAGATTAGTAGAAGCATAAAATACACTCTGACAAATAATGGGACGCGAGGCTGGAAAAACACACAGGCCAGCATGAGAGAAGAGAATGAGCACAGGGGCAGCTTGGGACATTTTTGGCAAAATCTATGACAGTGTGTGCTTTAAGTTGATCAAGATCAAGCTTGGAAAACTGAACTGGAAAAGTAGTCAGACAGATACGGGGAATCAAAGTGGGGACTATTTTAGAATTTGAATCAACAAGCAGTAGTGTCATAATAAGGAAAAAGAAGTGATAAACCAGAGACAAGTGGGCAAATCCTGCAGATTCCATCACTGCACTATCCCTTTCACTCATATCATTTCCATTCCTACCGACACCTCTCTAGATAGTCATCATGCATATAATTACAATTAACTGTACAAAGCGCTCTCCAAATGATACCCATGAAGGAATAGATAATCCTGAAATACATATCAGTGTTAAAGATTCAATATAAGGATTTTATATTTTTATGAACACTCAGAAACTGAAAAAAAAAATTCATATTAAACTATTAATACTCATTAAATAGGTTTTGCATATAGCAGAATAATGAATGAGTCATTTCATATTTAATCTTACTATGTTTAGAGTGGAACCAAAGCATACATCTGTGCCAATAACTGTGGGTAACACAATTATGCTTCAAAAGATACAGCAAAAAACGCAACAGTACAAACCTAACTGGTGACAAGTTAAAACTAAAAATACATCTTTCATGCCCTAATATAGGAATTTTATGTTCCTTTTTAACATTTGCTGGATATTTACTCCATAAAAAAGTCAAGTTTACTGACCAACTTGAAAATGTAGTCACTCATAGAGACTTTTAAAAATTAAAATCTACATAAAAGTAAATCTATGGTGCTTTTTAAAGTGAAAAACAACTGCTTTTGGTAACCATAAATACTCTGGAAAAAATTATTCATACTATTATCTTTTCCACAGAGATGACTTATTCTAAGAGTTAGTTTCTACCTAAAATATTAGAGTAGAATAAAGAAAAACAAAAAAATACAGATAGTCATACACCAAAGAAGGTGAAAATATTTAGTTTGGAAATAATTATATACACACAAACACACACATACTTAGACAAAAACACACCTCCCTCTGAGTTTTCGTCTCCTCCCTCATGAACATTTTTGGTGTGGCTCTATCATTTGTTTTCTAGTTCAGAAAAAGACTGAGGTATAGCAACCCAAATAAAGCAAACTGAAAAGTGACAAACCAAGAGGAACATATTTTGAAGTCTTCTCCACTGTCTAGCCCAGTGTTTCCTTAACTGTGTTCTACAGAAGAGTATTAATAGCTATTCCATTAAAAGGATGTCAAATAAGTTTGGAAATGCTGCACACTATATATTCCCCTTTTGAAGGTCCACCATTTAAATTAATATATGAAAGGTTTAGAGAAGTCCTAAAATAAAGAAACCTACCTAATTTTGTTTAACCCACTGCTTCATAACCATGGAATCCTACTCTTTTCCATCTTTTTTTTTTTTTAGGACACCTACTAATATCTTTCAGAAAAATGATTCTGTCCTGCTTTAGACCAATGTGAAATTCCCTTTGAGCTGGTAGTAGTTCATAAATTACAGGTGTGTATTTCCTTGAAAAATAAAAATCTCAGTGATAGGTACCCTTAGAAAATAGTGTTAAACTCTTACAAATTATGGGATTGTAGTGGAGGTGGGTAGAGGGGGAGAGAACACTGTGTCTGGCTACTACGTTTAAGCAAACATGGTACCCACCCTACTCACTGAGGCCCAGTCGGCCATTTCTCTCTTTTACTAGCCCTCTGTGCTCCAATGCTCCGTAGCGCATCAATCACTGAGACATGACATATTTGTAATTCTGCTTTCTAAGTGGATTAGCAGATATGATGAGAGTGCCAATTACTTCTTCCCTGGGATCACCTGTAGTGAGGGTTTATGATGTGAGGAAATGTAGGTTGTACATAAAATCCTAAAAAGGAAGAAACCATCAAATAAGACAAAATTTCTGGGTAATGTTCACCCTCCTCCAAAATCAATAGGGCTATAAAATGATGTGTGTTGCTCACAAGAGAAACTACAGCCTTTAGGAATGATTAAGGTGTGAGAAATGAAAGAGAAATATACCTACCTAAGCAAATTTAATTTCATTCATCTGGTATCCCTTCTGTAGAATAGTTCCATACATTTTTCTCTCATTCTTTAAAATAAACTCCACTGAATCTAGTTTAAAATTTCAAAGCAGATCAGGGACAAATCCAAGGAACATAGCACAATTTAAAAGGGATGTAAAACTAATTTCATAACTAAGTGTGAGTAATCAGACTTTTTTTTCAATATTAACCACACTAAATCCACTGAACACAGTAAGTGCAGGGAGCAGCCACCATACTAAAAAGAAAACTACTTACAATGAGGTATCTTAGATACCTGGTTGGGACTCTTTCTCCTTTGAAATGAAACTACAGTTTAGATTTGAAAGCACACATTTTTTCCTAACAATTTTTGTTTGGCATTTTTCACCTGGGTTAACAGGTCACTCCCAATGCAACCCCAGTGCAAATGTAAAATTCACTTACCTGCACAAAACCACATGCTGTGAAGTCCTCAAACAAGGGCAGACTTGGACGATCTTCTCTGTAGATGGTGAGTTTGTATGTGATCAGGGTCTCACTCTGGGCTGGAGATTCATCCACCACAAGCACTGAGATTTTGTTCATTCCTAAGCCCAGAGGGTAGCTACCAAAGCTGGAAGGAGACAGAGAGAAACATTTATTCAGCCCAAAAGAATTCACATATCAATATTTATTAAATGCCTACAATTCACATAAGAAGGCAGATAAGTTCTGTACAATTTTATAAGAAACCTAAAATGTGAAAAAAAATATTTTAACTTATGTTTTATAGTACTTTGGTATGCCAAGAGTTATCTTGCAGAGCAAGTCATGTCCTCTGTCAATTACAAGGACGGGAACTAATATTTATTAACCGCTTGTCAGGATCATATATTATCTCATTTAATACTCACAACAACTCTACAGAAAAACTATGATTGTCCCCATTTTAACTATAGAGACCATGACATAGAACTGGAAAACAAATTGCCCAGTCACATGGTAGAGTCAGGGTTGGGACCCAAGTTAGTCTGATTTGAATCCTCTTTTCTTTCTACTGGACTCTCTTAGCTCCCAAGGAAGCCAAGTGTATTTCTTTCCATACAGCATGGGAACGTGAGTATATTTGTTGTCATGGACATGGTAGGTAATGAGGTTCTATCTTTTGTTCAAATATTATAAACAAAAAAGTTGGTGACTCTCAAAAGAGTCAACAGAAAAAAATCCCATGAGACTAGGAAAGTTAGTGTTATGTCTACAAATTGTCACCAACATGTTTATAAGCAATCAATCCCTGAGTATTCAAAAATGAGAAATTGGAGTAGGGTAGAAGGAGACTATTGTTCAGAAGGATTAACTCTTCAACAATCTAAAAACATGAAGACAACAATAAGCTAAATTTTCCCTTAATTCGTCCTCTTTAATATTTCACATCACAAGATCCTCTCTTGCTACAACATCGTTACAAAGATTAGATATGAAGACTGCCAATAGATCAGTAGAGCCCTTGATGTGTTCTTTTGAACCATATGACACCTGAAAAGCGGAAGGATTTCACACTCTGGCAACGTCTCCAACTGATCTTGTGCCTCCGCTTTTCTGAACCACCTTCAAAGTTTGCTTCAAATGTCTGCTTCCCACTGTGATGTCTCCACCAAGCCCCAGCCAGGTCCCTATACCTTGGTCCTGCCCGTTCATGCAGGTACACCTTGCACTGACATCTAGAAGTCTCCGCTCCAATTGTCACTGTTACCACATCGAATGGGACTTCAGAGTAATAATCTTTGATCTTTGGGTTAAATTCGGGATTTAGTTTCAAATGCGGATGTGTGAAGATCTGCTTAATATGACATTGTGTGTCTTTATCTGTTAAAAAAACAAAAACAATGACAAAGAAAAGACAACTGTGAAACGGCTAGATGTTTATAAATCATATGATTAAGGTTTTGTGGGTTTTTTTTTTTAACTCCTTTGAACAACTTGCACGATCACTGCTGATTTGCCATTCAGCTCGCTGGTCATAGATGATTTGTGGCTTCAACTGGATTTTCTACTTGTCAAATTTTGTAGAATTTGCCTCATATAACAGCTGCTGACTTTAGTGGGTGTTATACAGATGATATTTTTTGCTCAGCCCTTAAAAGTTTAAAGGCACGGAAGGTGGAAAAATGTCTCTCCAGTGGATTGATAACATTTTCATGGCATTTACTGCATATATCAAGCAACTGTGTAAAGGGGTGCAATCACTCTGTGGAGTGGTGACAGAAGGGTACCAGCAGGGAATGAGGAAAAGTTCTTAATGGAGAGTGCCATTAAACTGCCATAGGATTGATATAGTAGCTTAGAGGCAGTAGGGTGGAGTAAAGAATGTGAAATCCAATAATATACCAGACAGTCAGATACAAAAACAGGGCATCCTGTGACCCTCCGTACCCCGGCCACCTCAACCTAAGAAAGTACCTTAAAGTATAAGAAGGAAATGCTATAATCTGCTCAATACTGTTATAGAATTTAGCATATTACTCCATACCATTAATTCTAAGCCATTTTTAAAAAGTGTTTCTACTTGGTAGCCCAATGTTTACAAAAGTATCTTGGTGAGAAAAAAAGAAATGTGCCTATGTTTATAGGCACATATACCAGCCACTGTTAAATTATACTGCTTTCATATCTGAGATAAATAAATTACTCCCAAGAAGCTCAGCAAATGTTTTTCAAAGAAATATTAAGTATTTTGTTCCATAAATATTTTTCAATAGTCAAGAAAATTCCACTAAAGATAAACATAGGAAATTCTATAAAAAGTGGTAAAATAAAAGTATCCTTCTATTGCCTTTAAATAAATGTTCAGTGATGTTTAACAACATAGAAACAAAAAAGATAACACCCTTGGGGCCGGCCCTGTGGTGTAGTGGTTAAGTGCATGCGCTCCGCTGCTGGCGGCCCGGGTTCGGATCCCCGGCGCGCACTGATGCACTGCCTGTCAGGTCACACTGTGGCGGCGTCCCACATAAAAGTGGAAGAAGATCAGCACAGATGTTAGCTCAGGGCCAGTCTTCCTCAGCAAAAAGAGGAGGATTGGCATGGATGTTAGCTCGGGGCTGATCTTCCTCACACACAAAAAATAAATAAATAAAATAAAAAAAGATAACACCAAATTCACTGCAGGAAGTCATACAATTGAACTTAAAGAAAGTAGATTATCCTATTAACTGTTGTCTCTTCCTCTATTTTTATACAACAATCAATGATTTTTCTAAAATCAAATTTGATGATTTGGCTTCAATTCTTTAATGGTCTCTCATCATCTCCAGAATCCAACCCAAGATCCTAAAAAAGTAGACAAAGCATTGCACCATCTCTTCCTCTCCAGTCACATCTCCCATTACATCCTGGACTTTGTGATTCAACAACACCAGAATTTTCATATTTCTTTTACAGACATAGAGATGCACCACCAAATCCATAGCAATGGATTCCACCAACCTTACTGATGTTTTATTCCAGTTCTGAGAACTAGGTCTCAGGGTAACTCCAATCATGTACTAAAATGATGAAAACAAAAAAAAAAATCTAAGTATTTCTGACCCATACTCTATGGTTTTCTCAGCTGGTGGGAGAAAACACTACTCGGGTACAAATTGGGAACAATAATAATACAATAGAAATATTGTAATTTCACTGTAGGGAAAAGTCTTAAGAAAAAAATAAACAACTAGTTAATTTGGTTGAATAACTCAGTGAATTGGGTAAACTACTTGCTTGATTGATTTTACTTGTTACCAAAGATTTTATCTGGCTGATAGATCTAGGTAGACTGCTTCTATAATTCTGATGATCATACCAACTCCTGAAATTTTTTATAATAAAAGGGAAAAATTGAAAGATTGAGGGCAAGATTGTGTTATTAGATTTCATCCTGAAAAGGACCATAGCATTTCATTCAAATTCAACCATTTATTAATAATGCATTCATTTTTTTAATCAAAGATTTTTTCTGGCATATTCTCCGTTCAAGGCACTGAGTTAAGCAAAGTAAAAACAGGCTAGAGCTGGCGGTGAGATCTGATTCAAATGGAGACTGAATGCAAAGTTATACTTCAAACAAGCTGGAGTTCAGGGATTTGGAATGTGCCTTCAAGAGGACCACTTTCTAAGCAGAAAGAGAATATAAATACTTGCACTACACTTTTATGCTCAGAACCAGTTAAATGAATAACAAAACGGAAGATTTTTTTTTTCAAAATAGTAATCATAAAAGATGTACTTTAACTTAGGATATATTTTTATAAAACAGTCACTGACAGTTAATTTCCTTGCAGGTTATACTTTCACTTAATAGTGAAAGTTTTCAATGGGGCTCGCCCATCGCAAGAATGAAAATCAGTTCTACATGAAACAAAATGTATAATCATTCTCTTAAGCAAGATTATAGCAAGTTCTTGTTTTTTGGTTTCATCAGAAACTCTCCACCTCTGGCTTGAGTGCTGCATCCTAGACCCTTGCTTGAAAGCTGATTTAGTCCTGACATCTTCAACTGAATCATCAGTGTTGTTGACTACAAACATCTGGTATTTCCTTGACATCCGTCCCAACCCGGTCCCAACTTGTCTTAGGCCAGCTTACCTTAGATCTACAGAGAACCCAGCATGACGTATGGTGGTAGCAGGTGGCTTAACCTATTTGGCAAGTATAGACGGGAAAGCTGTTTGAAGTTTTGGTGGCTTTTAACGGATTTCTTTTAACCGCAGAATTTTATTGCTCTCTTGAGGGATAATCATAACTCATATTAAACATGAGAACAGCCTAGATGCTGAAAGATAATCCCACCTGTTCTGAGACATCATCAAGTTATTTTTTTAATCTTATATCATATCCATAAAAGTAGGAAGATTAATTGTGAAGACCTAGGTAAAATTAGTTTTTATCAAAATAAAAATATGAACAACGTTGAAGAGCTTATCTACCACGTTCACATAACCTACACCATGCTACCTGGGAACTAAAAAAAAAAAAATGAGATCATCCTGTACAATCACTTCATTTTATAAATGAGAAATTAGAAGATCAAAGAGGTGAAGTGGCTTTCCTGATGCTGCATCTAATCCAGAGGCCGGCATACAGACTCTCAACAAATGTTCATTGTTGACTAGTCTTCTCCCTAGTCCTCTGTCCACTACACACCAGGCACCAGTCTCCCAAGAGTAAGCAGGGAGGGAATGGCATAAGTAATATCTGTTGTCTTTTTCTGATTAGCAATACTTTAAAAGGCTATTTTTCTTTAATTGGATGTATTTGTTGATTCTATTAAACCACATTATTTGTAACCTCTCAGCTCACCCTGATTTTAATGATAGTGTTAAAACATAATGAACGAATTAAATTGCATTTTAGAAGATACAAATTAGATTTTGTTAAATTAGAAGACTTTTATTTATAAAAATTAGACCTCAGTCCATAAATTTTATTTTTTCAGCTTTAATGTTTTACTGGAATAGATTTTTTATTTGTGAGAGGCTAAATTTTCTAAGGATGTGTTTTAACACCAATTATATATAATTTTAAGAGGTACACATTGTCAAAAAACAAACCTGCTAGGTAGAACTCATTTTTCTATCACATAATTATAGGGCATTAAAATAATTCATGAGCGTTGGACAAAGAATCAGAAGACCCAGCTTTACGATCCAGCTCAGGCATTTAATATCCCTGGGATTTTGGAAAAGTCAGTTAGATTCTCTAGAACAATAAATTTGCAAGACCACTGGAATAATACTGACTAGACAGAGTGAAGAAAATTATTTTCAAATTTAAAATCTATATAATATGTGAAATGTATTACTATAATATATATATATTTTTTCTTGATTATACTTTAGTAAAAAAAAATTCATGAATTTTAAGAAAATAAATTGAAAATCAGCTTAAAAACTCTCAATTGTTATAAAGAAAATTCAGCTAGAGTACTATCCATTATATCAACAATCTGGCAGAAAAGGAATCACTGTGGGGTGGTGAGAGCCCTAAAATCAATGTATAAAGCAGATGAGCCAAGCTTTTCCACTTGAGCAATCTCCAAGGCAAAGCCTTAGCACTCTAAGGAGCCCTCAAAATGAGTTTGGAAATCACCGTTTTTAAACACACACACACACATACACACACACACACACACACACAACATTTCATGTTCAAAAATAGAAAATTAAAAATGATCTTCTTATGCAAAAGTAACAGATATCGACTCATTCAGAAATCTCATAACTTCTGAAAATTTACTTAAAATACATTAGCAGCCTAAAGATACCCAAATAAGATAAAATGATGATTTATTTAAAGCAGGGCTATGCCCAACTGTTGATTATGCTGCAGAAACACTTTAATTGGAACTCACCATTAATGCAATGTACTTCTTTGGTTTCATTCACAATTTGTGGAACCACAGCTAAAAAAAGAAATGTAAATCTAAAATGAAAATTATTAATCAAAATAAAAAGAATACATATTCAGTAATCTCAAACAGCATAATTTAATAAAACACAGTTTATTATTTAACTTTTATTATATCAGAAAACACTTTAAAGTTAAACTGAAAACTACAGTAAAACAAAAGAAGTTATTTGGTTCAAATCTCAGAAGAATGATTATTTCAAATAGGAAAATATTAAGGGAGAAAAGCAAATAGTCTAAATGCCATCCATTGCCTGAAGGTGATCTATCGAGATTCCTTCTAGTTCTATGATCCTATGACTATAATTTCCCAAGTCATTAGAATTATAGAAATTCCATCCAGTTGGTTCCACTGATATTTACTGTAAGTTTCTGAATTCAACCAAACATCTATCTAAAAAACTCCTTAATAAATATCAATGGAACAAATGAATAAAAAAACAAACAAACTCCTAAATCACTCATTTAAAAAGAAATAAATGGTAGGAGAGAGAAAGACAATCAGAATAGCAGTTTATCGTCAGTTTCTCACTGGGCCTACTGATTCATTCTGTTGAATGTGTGGTTCTCATACCGCAGTGTATCTCAGAATCATCTACAGGGCTTGTTAAAATACAGAATGCTGGCCCTCATACCCAGAGATTCTGATTCAGTAGATCTGAATTTGCCAAGTTTCTCAGGTGATGCTGATGTTGCTGGTCTAGGGGCCACACACTGAGAACCACTGTATTGGATTAAACCTTGATTTGTAATAGGAAAACTTGGATTATTTTTAAATTGTAGACACATGGTACTTCTTTTCATTTTTTTATTCTTAAAATTAGAAACATTTTCTTTTCCCATGACAAAAAGGTTGGATGTTCTTCAGAAAGAAAAAATTAGAAAATAGAGATAAGCCTAAGAGAGAAAATAGCAATCACCATTAGTTTTCCTTGAGGTCCATGTTGCTTGCAGCCAATTGTTTCATTTAACAATACATCATAAACATCTTTCATGTCATAAATACTCTTCTACAATATTAGAATGGCTTTATCATATTTTATTGGATGACTGTAGCTTAATTTTTTTTATCCCATCCACCATTATAGCAATAGAGATAGTTTCTAATTTTTTGCATTTATTAATAATTTATATAATAAAAGTTTGTGTACATTCTTAATTATTTCCACAAAATGAAGTAAAATTTCTGGTATGTAAGAATAACTTTTAAAGTTTTTCTTATACGTTGTTAAATGGCCTCTTAAGAAAAGTTGCTCTAATTTATATATCCATCAGCAGCATGAGAATACTTATTTCCCTACCCTCTTCCCAACTCTATTATTTTTAAGAGGAAAAACCTTTCCAAATTTGAGGGAAAATAGAATTTCCTAGTTTTTCACTTCTGATGGCTAATGAAGCTAAAAATTTTTTTGTATGTTTTTTGGTCACACAATACTTATTTTCATGTTGAAATAAGTGGGACTATATCCTTTTACCTTTTTTATTTTCAGTTGCATCAAATGGCACTTGTGGTTTTTCAGCGTTCTCATCCTCTGAGAAAGAATTCCTGCAAATGCAATGCCAAACAACTGTGGATCAATGAAACGAACAAAATTCATGGAAATCTCATCTAACACACTATCCTTTTTTTCTATGTGGGCACGGTTATTTTGATGAACACAAAGAAACACTTTCTGGATTTTATTCCTCAAAACTGGCAATCTCGCCTCAGTGAGGTGGGTGGAAATGTCATCATCTCTAATCAGCAGAAGTACATTTGAAGAAAACCAGGGGAAAAAGTCACTCTTCAGTCCAAATGTGAACAATCTCTGATAGCCTGGGTCCAACAGAAGTGCTTCAGGAACACACATTCCTATAGGAATCTGTTTGGCTAACGTCACACATCTTTAAAGTCTAACTTTAAAGTTAAAGATTTGAAGCAAGAAGCCTTAGAAACTCAGGCACAGATCGAGAAGAACATACATATAATCTAAGAAATATAAGTGTACCATGCAGAAAATGACCTGTCTTACCAAGCCTTCTACCCTTAAACTCTGATTAACAGCAGTAAATGATAAGGATTAGTTATATCTCAGTGTGTTTGCCTCAATTTTCCGTTGTATAACTAACTGGTTGGCCAGATTGCCCTTTAAATCCTCAGATTTGGGACCAAAATAATCTAAATTACAGACAGAAAAATTGCTGGTCCTGATGATAGAGAATATTGGGTGAGAGGTGACTTGAATTTCCCTTGCTGTGTTATGAATATCCATTTCTACCTCCTCAAAATGGAAATAGCAATACTGGCCTTACTTCACAGGGATGCTATGAGAATTAAATCAAATGCTTTGTGTTAAGTTACATTTTATAAATATTTATTGTCCCAGATATTGTGCTGGGCACTGTGGTAGAGAAGAGATGAATAAGGCATATTCGATTCCTTCAAAATATAAACATCAGATAGGAAATTAAGAAGAGTCAAGGAATTAAAAATAGTGCTAATGTTGGAAGACGTGATAACTTTATTGCAGTATTATTTTTAAAAGTCTTCCTTTTCTTTGATACAGACAATGAAGTAATTAGAAGTGAAAAATAATGATATTTAGACTTACTTTAAAATACTTCCTTCTTAAAAAAAAAAACTTTCCTCCTCCCAAAGAATGAAAAAACAGATAAAGCAACCATGGGTGAGACATGTTTAGTTAAGTTTCACTAGGTGTCGTGCCAAATTAAAAAAAAACAATCTCTGAATTCATATGAAGCAAAAACTCTAAGTGAAGCTCATAAAATATACAACCCTGAAATGTACATAAACTGAATTTTGGAAATGTTACTCTCTTAATGGAATGAGATGGTTTGTATGTTAAGGCATCCTGCAGTGATTTCTTGTGTAATTTTGTAAGTTATTTGTTTTAAAAATGTGGATTTTCATGGAAAGCATGTGATTAGAGCAAAGTACACTTGCAACTTTATTTCTAATAAAGTGAAAATTAGCAGATAGTGTACAAACATTGATTTTAAGATTTTCATTCTGTTCAGATTTACACTAACTCTTCTGGGACCTCTGGATTCTGAACCTCAGGACACAGACATAATTGTCACCTTTTCTAACTGTTGCTTTTCTGACTTTATCTCTCCTCACATTGTTGCTGTAAGCAGATAATCTTTATTGAAAAGGAAGGATGAAGTCATTAAACCCCACAGGTAGTATAGGTATGTAAAAAATGGCTTTTTCTGTAGAAAAACCTGGAGGTGCCATCATGAAGATAAGGGCAATGATGAATGACTACACTTGACTCCCTTGTCTGCATGATGTACTGGAATAAAGCACTGGACCATGGATGAGAAGGCCAAGGGTCCTAGTCTCACCTCTATTTCTATTAGCTGTGTGGCTTGAGCAAATGACCCATCTTCTCAGCACCTCAGTTTCCTCATCTGGAAAATGTGTATAATACGCATCCTCCTTGTAATACAGCATGGATGATAGTTGAACATACCTGTGCTTACAGGTAAATCTGAAGATAATTAGAATTGAGTATTCTTTCTTGAAATGTTCTAAGAACATTTTACCTAATTGCTTGCTGATAAAGATCTAAAGTTTACTTGTCTCAGTGTTAACTTAGATAACTCTTTCAAACTTGTCTTGCTTTTCCTATAAAAGAAAGAACAATATTTCCCCCACTGTAAATGCTAAAGTGATCTTTGGGTGATACAGAAACATGAAAAGGTAAGTATACTAATATTTACCCCCTCCCTGCACTGCAGCATACCAGACACCATGTGGTACATGGAGGTTACCTCATGTCATTCTTCTGAAATAATACATGGTAGGGAGTATAATCCATATTTTGCAGATGTGGAAATGGAGTCTCAGAGGGGTCAAAACTTTACCTGCTATAATTAATCAACTCTGAAGTTGGATTTTTGAATCTAAGTCTGTCTGATTTTAAAAAGTCCTGCCCCTTTCTAACTACACTCAACGCTGACCACTAGTAAATTCCCTTACTGGAAGGGAACCATTGAGAGTCAGGGTTAAATACAATATTCTGAATTTAAGATAATTCAATTGCTTAACCTTACAACATATGTGGAGCTTGAGAAAAACTTGTCGGGGAACAAACTTTTCAAAGCTTGCATATCTCAAGGGAATTTAGTAAAAGTTAGTTAAAAACAGTACTTAAAAAGGCTCCTTGGGGCCACCTGGTGGCGTATTGGTCAAGTTTGCAAGCTCTGCTTTGGTGGCCTGGGGTTTGCAGGTTTGGATCCTGGGCGCGGATCTATACACTGCTCATCAAGCCATGCTGTGGCAGCGTCCCATATACAAAAAAATAGAGGAAGATTGGCACAGATGTTAGCTCAGGGGCAATCTTTCTCGCCAAAAAAAAAACCCAAAGAGTCTCATTGGTCAATCGAGTCTGCTCTTCCTCTGTTGATAATGACGAATGAGAGAGTCTTGGATTATTTGAGTGAGTGCAAAGAACAAACAAAAGGGCATTGAGCTATATTATTTAAAGACCTAATTTTTGAACAAATAAAACCTTTCAGGCTTAATTCTGAGCACTGAGGGAATAAGGCCAAGTTCATAAAGCTGTGGCAATTAAAGTGAGTTCTGACCCTGGGAGATATCCTAAGAATTCTTCAAATACGTGATTATTTGTATTTTTGAATTATAAAAAAATATTTCTTACAGAACTGTTCTCATTTTCTCCTGAGGCAGAAGGAAATGAAGTACAAGTCAATAGAACTGAAGCCATCCTGAGGGGGACTGCAAGAGATATAAACGATTATGGCACGGCCATTTAGTCTTTCATCTCCCTAGGAGGGTTAGGTTTACTTCTGTTTTCCTGGCAGTAGAAAAGTCAAATATTCCCTTAATTCCATCATATAAAAAAGAAGCAGACAAAACCTGAGGCGCTGCCCATTTTCACCAATGACAGGAGGTGTTAATATGTTCACTGGCCCATTCCCCCTTATTCCCTCATTTCAGCTTCTCATTAGAATAGAAGTGGGAATGGGAGGCCAAGGACCTTTTCTCCCAGCCAAATGCTTCCCTCTGAGATCCTACCTTCTTAAAAAAAAAAAAAAAGCTCTAATCTTGTGGCAGAGACAGAAAATATTTATAAATTTGGATAGGTTTTACCCAAAATAAAGTCACACCTCAAAAACTAAATAAATACTCAGACCATCTGTGCTCCACTCTGACTGATGGTTCATCAAACAAATCACACCTAATTCTTTCTGTCTGATGCTCCCACAATCCAAGGATATATATCAGAGAATGAAACTAGATTGAAACTTTTAATTTTGAACATTACTTTTCGGTGGAGCAAAGTCCTGCTGGTTTGAAAAACTGTTGGACATATTTTTGTTAGTGTTTGAAGACCACTAGAATCATTATGGTTTCAATGCTTTAAAGAAGCTTATTTTCCAGAGCATGAATTTTTGGACACACTTCTTTTTGTTGCTTTCTTTAATGTAGGCAAAGCCTTTTGAAATCAATCTTTAGAGTTTTTGGATTGCACAATTCAAATTTGTGGCTGTCTTACCATTCCAGTGGATGTAGCTGTGCTTTTTTATTCAGGAGCTGAAATTGTTCAGATACATTTAGAAGAGACAAGTATTGAGTCAGAACTGAATCAGGTTTCCCCATAGGATTTGCTGTATCGTAAAATTCACGCATCAAAGACTGAATCTCAGGAGTAGTAGACGGGAAGAGCTGAGATGGAATATTCAAAAACAGAATATAAGAATAAGTTATGGAAAATAAATAAAAATGCAGTATTACTAGAAAAGCCTTTATATTTATTCAGATATTTTAAAAATCAGATATTTATTAAAAATCCAATGGTCAGTATCATGATTTAATTTTCTGTGCAGTGGTCAAGGTAAATGCCGCTTTTTATAAGTATTGAACTCATTTTGTTGATGATCATACTTCCAAATGGGGTGAATGGAAATGAATTTCTCCTTCCCACAGGTACGAGAAAACAGCTGAATAACAGTGAGTCAGGCGGCAGGAAGAATGAGGAGAAATTCTCTTGAGTTATAAGTAAATTATGTCAGCCTGGGAGATATTAATCCTACCAAAACAAAAATCTATTCCTATCCTCTTTCCACTCTGAGAGTCAGGAATTTGGGGTTTGCTCTTTCTCCTGCAAAATGATTCTTCAGTTCTTCTTCATATCGTGCTGAGGGATGTTCTCTACATTCACAATATCTTAAATTGTGAATTTCTGAATGGTAAGGCCAGATCTCTTTGATTATCTTTGTAAAGTATTGAGCCAAACTGTCCTGAACATAATACTTAATATATTTAAATTAATTAAAATGATAATCCACTAATTAAATTATCTTTGGGGCAATAAGTTTACTTTGAACCCTCCAAAATATGGGGGTAAGTTATAAAAACGAGTGTTGGACATTCATTAACTAACTTAGTAAATTGGTTATAACTCATACAAGTAACATATGAATGCATAGATTTTTTAAAAGTAAAACATAACTGTTTAATTCAAACAGATTAATAATAAATTATCAGTGGACTTTTTAAAATGCTATTTTAAAGAGCTGTTTTGTATAAACAAATCTTAGGTGGAAAAATACAAACCATTATAGTTTATCGATATAAGTGGCAGAACTAGAAACAAAGCAAGTACTGAGCATGCACACACATATGTAATAAATTTTCCTTTGATGTTGACCAACAGATTAACAGAACCCACAAAAGTACACAGAAAAGAAAATAAATTCTATTTGTTTTTTTAGGCTGAAACCAGTAAAAAGTTATTATAATTATTTACATTTTCTTTCTTCGAAGTTTTCTGTAGAGTTACAACAAATTAAGACTTAGGTAGTTTCCTAAAAATATTGTTGCTATATTCAACAATATTTGATTTTACACAAAGCAAAAAGGGCATAAAAAGCAGAAGGAAATTTTGGTTATTGTCCCCAAGCCAAAAGCAAAACTTCTTTAGAAAAAGTGGACATTTTCCCCCTTAAGAACTGTGAAATCCTGCCAGCTATACTAATCTCATTTCTTTTACCTTTAATAAGTCACATATTATTTGCACTCAAAGTAAAGAATATGGATTCTGCTCATCTTAATACTTAGATCTCTGAAAAGAGGGAAAAAGCTTATGAAGATTTCTATTTCTTAAAGAAATATCTTCATCTAGTTTGAAGTCAAAATTAAGTAGTTTATGGCTGATCTACTATAATCTCAGTAATCAAGAGGAATCAAACATCACTTTTAATTTACCAATTGGAATCGTCCCAAACTCCCAAGTTCCTTTATGAAAGTCATAATTGAGTTAATCTCCTCTAAAGACAGGCATTGATTTAGTTCCTTTTGATAGTTTTCACCCTATAATAGGGGGGGAAAAAAACAACTCAAGCAATTGCTATAAAGTCAAATCATGCTTAGTCCAATTGCCTCCCACTTCATAAACCAATCAAATTTTGAACTCTATAAATAAATAACTGAGCTAATTAATGCTAAAGAACACATAGTAACTTCAATTTGTCACAACAGTGAATGTGAGAGAACTTCATATTTGACAAAGAGGACCTGAATGAAATAGCTCAATAGTGCTTTGGTAGCAAGGTTGGGGAGATGAGTCTGGGAGGGCAGAATGAGTGTGACAGTTTGGGAATGCAGGAAGAATCTTCTTTAGCCCTCAGGGTGCTAGAGATCAAAGAAGCATATTTACACACAAATCTCAGATACGAGACATTACCATTTTGGAGTTTCATAGATTCTAGTAAACAGACACTCCCTATTTATCACATTCAGTTTTTCTAATGGATCCCTGAGAGCAGAAGGTGCACCTATTACCATTCTTTCTGGGTCAAGTGGTTCTAATGGTTTTAATGACAACCTACTCACTAAAGAAAGAAAACAGGAATTACGGGAAAAAAATCAATAAAATCATAAGGAAACAACAGTCTATGTTATATCTCTTACAAACTTCTCTCTATAGAGCATCAATAGATGCTCTATAAAAAAAAGGTTTGTGGGACCTTTCACATTCTGCCCTTCCAAACTTTCCAAATACGGTTTTTAAAACATAAAGATATGTGAAGAATAATACTGTACTTAGTAATCTGTGCAGATTTTTTGAGACGTCAAGAAAACTTGTATTAATACGCCATAAAAATTAACTGATGCTACTCTGAGGGACTACATTCTGATCATCAGCATCTAACCAAAGATATTAACCAGATGTGAACATTAGTATTATAAGTCCAGGTCCTCGATATCCATCTAGAGCACTCACTGCTACTCTAGACTGCCCTCAAAAAGTTCTGGTATCCCTTTTAAAGTATTCAATAACATATAATATGTATTATTCATAATATCCACAAACAGTCCTTCACCATTAGGAACTGCTTTCCTTCATTTTCAACCCACAATTTCATCATAATCAGTCACTCACATACTCAGTTCACATAAAAATAATATTGGTCTTCTGGTCAGAAAAATATTAAGAGGTGTCACATAACTGATACAAATTAATTTCAAATGAATTATCAAGTTGCTTAACTGCACAATAAAGAAAATGGCACTACGTAAAAAAATGACTTGAAAAAAATATTTATCAGTACAAAAATGTGCACTTACTTTAAATACACCTGATCTATAAAGTCTCTGAAATATCTCAGAAAATATGGAAAGCGAAGATTCATTAGAGAAGAGAAAATTGAAAGTGTCTTTTAAAAGGAATTCTTCTGTGTTTTGGTCCTCAAAATCCACATTATCATCATCTTGAAAACGTAAATGCTCGTGCACCTGTGACAGAGTGAAAACACACCAAATATTTTTCATTGACCTGCTTTTAATGTAGTGAAATCACTTCTAAGACAGGATTCATTTCCTGTTGGAGTGTAGATCAGCACTGCCATCTAGTGGTCTTTCTGGAGCTCAACAGGTCTATAAAATCTAAGTGATGTTCTTTTAAACAAGAAAATTAACAGATTATAAAATCACATCAGTTTGCCTTGAAACTCTATTGTTGAAAAATTTGTGTTCATGCAAGATAATATATAATATTTCTGAATAATAAATTTTAAAGAGCATAATATGAACTATTAGGTATGTGTAAAATAATGAATAAATGACGATTAAAAGCTATAGATTCATAGTTTCAAAATTTTCTGAATATCTTTGAGCTATTCAACTAAATGTCTGAGCCACATACAATGTAATCATTCTCCGTGTATAATAGTCTGAAAACCAGTCAATGCAATATGAAGTTCAATTCTGGTTGCACATAATTTTATTTTATTCGTCTTCCCACCCCATATCCCAAGATATAGCTTTCTATGAACACTAATATTTATGTTAATGTTTACGAACTAATAAACACTAATTCAATGAAGTGTTTTTTTTAATCTTTTTACCACTAAGGGCTATTTTAGATGAAAAATATGTTGGGGGAGATGATTTGAATAAGTTAAATTGATCTGAGACGAAGTAAAAGAATCAGAATGTGCAAAGAACATTTTTCAATTTGTACACACATACTAGAAAAAAACATATATTTCAGAAATTCCTATGGCTTTTAAAATTAAAATATAGGCCAATTTTAAAATATCTATAAGTAAAGAACAAAAGAGTTGCCTTTTTTATAAAGTCATGTGGATCAGCTGGGCAGTCTGCTGTTTTCTGTTACCCAAATTTCTGCTTTTCTGCATTGACACATTCTTAGTTTTACGCCACATTTATTTCATAAACAGTGTTTGAACTATAGAAACATCTATGCTTGTTCTATAGGGATATATGAAATGAGGATTGGAACTCAAATCATCGATTCTCCACATGGTAGTTAATTCTCTGAACCATCATAAATATAAGCCTGTAGTGACTTAGATGCAAGTTGCTATTTACTGATTGGTTACTATGAATGAAAACAACACACACACACACACACACACACACACACACACAGATCTTTCACCAAAGGTGGAAGCTCACATGAGGCCTTTGACATACTCACTTGGAGCACTACAGGGTACCTGAAATTGCCGTAACCAATATCAAAAGTTAAAAGTTGAAAACATAATCTGCATCTGAAATAAAAACACAAGGTAACATAAAAATATATTCTATTTGCTACATTTATTCTTTTATTTGGTACTATATTATTAATAATTACTATAGTTAAATTTCAAGGTCTATCCTAATTAAAAAGAGCAGTGGATTGGATAATCTAAAATTCCGTATAATTTATCTTTGGATTTAGAGTCTGTTCTGTTCCTTATGGAAAATACAAATATATTTAAAGCATTCATAAAACATTAAACTAAACAATGAAGTTGCTCCATGAAAACAGAAATATAGGGAAGGAAACTCTCCTACTCCTACAGACTAGGCATTCTTATTCACATATAAAGCAAGATAAAGCTTGAGTCACCTCCCTTTTTTTTTTGACATACTAGATTTAACATTTCCCTAGAAAAAGAGCATTAAATTACATTCAAGTAAACCAAGATATGGAGATAAGAGTTATTGAATTTTGCTAATAAAGGTCTATAAGTGAAAATACACCTAGTCAGTGCAAAGTCTGTGATAGAAATAGCTGAGCTTCAAAGGGAGTTCAATTAAAAAATTAAATAACTGTGCTTTATTTCTTGCCAGCACTACTTAGATACCAGCAAGTTTGTGACATGCTCTGAAGTTTTAGGATCTGTAAATTAGAAAGTACGTTTAGAAGTTCATATTTGCATTTTGTTGTTATTAGTGCCGTCCAGTAGATTCCAAATGCTAGTAACCAGTCAATTCTGACTCCTAGCAACCCTGTATACAGCAGAGCGGAGCCCCGCCCAGTCTTTTTGCGCCATCCTCTCACCTTCCGGTGCTGTATCAGACAAGGCTCTGCTGCTATTCATAGGGTTTTCATGGTCAATTTTTTCCGGAGTGGACGGCCAGGTCCTTCTTCCTAGTCTGCCTTATTCTGGAAGCTCAGATCCGATGAAACCTACGGGTGACCCTGCTGGTATCTGAAATCCTGGTGGCACAGCTTTTAGCTTCATGGCAACACACAGCCGCCACCTTGTGACAACTGACAGGTGGGTGGTGTGGTTCCTTGACTGGGAAAAGAACTGGGCCGTGGCGATGAGAGCACGGAATCTTAACCACTAGACCAGGGCTGTTTTCATATTTGTATACTGACATAAAATTTTCCACGTAGCACTTACTTGTAATAATTAAGATATATTTTCACTAACAATCAATTTTTAGAAGGTAGATTTTTTCTTCTTTTCTAACATTAAAAGTTGTTTTTACCTATTGAAGACCTTTGGTCCCAGAGTAGATGTTTCACTGAATACCTCAGCCGCTAGCAGGAGTTTGCTAATTGCTTCCTTCATATTCTCAAAGGCCTGAAGAGGTGAACCGGCTCTCAGGAATGTCTCAAAAAATGTTTGCAGCTGTGAACAAAGTAAAGGATTCATTTGTTGAAACAATAATTTCAATTTGTCTCTCTCTCATTCCAAGGGGACCACTTAGAAGGACTCCTTTTAGGCTATCTCTCCTTGTCACACTAAGAAAAAACTCCTTAAATAGGAAAGTTTGACATTCTAAGACTTCTATATATTATATATACATATATACAATATATTGAAAGAGTATACAATATACTGAAAGTATATTATATAATGAACATATATTACAAATAAAATATAATATGTATATATTATATACATTTAGAAATATTTTATAACCTTTTAATTAAATATGGGGTGCCACTATATCTTGTAATTTCTTTTACTTTAGAGATGCTTACTCCTATTTTTCTCCTTTCATGGCATCTAATCAGGGAAAGTGAAGTGGAACTGTAACAAGGCTAGTGATCAGAAGTCTCAAGTTTAATTTGTGACTCTACTAACTAAGTGAACTTGGACTCACAACTCACTTTGAATTTTTGTGTCCTCTTTAAAATGGGTTAACATCTACCAACAAGAGAGCTGTGAAGACAAATTAGAAGAAAATGTATTTGAAAGCCACTGTAAAGAATACAATTCAAATCTAAGCTTTTTATTATCACTTTTCTGCATACATCAGAACAAAAATAACTACATTCACGTTGCTTCTTCTTTATGGTATTTTGATGTGGGAGATCTAGCCAACCGGAAAAGAATCTAAGAGAATCTCAGAGTCCTCCTAACATTTTAATTTCAGGTTTCATGTGGATAGAGAGGATGGGGCAGTGTTACAAAAGGGGGAATGATACTCAGATTTATGTGTTCTTAGAAACTCTGTAGTTGGTGTCACAAATAGCTATTTTTATTCACTTAAATATTAAAACAATCACAACAACAAAATTACTTCTTGACAATGCTTAACGGCAAAATTCAAGTCAAAATTTTTAAGAAGTATAAAACAAATCTCAGATTGATTCATAGACTTTGGATAAACGTACTCTTTCAAAGATAAAGAACAAAAAATATTTTTTGAAGAAACATGCAGCAGGTACTCTATTAATGTTTTTGGAAGAACAGACTAAATTTATCTGAACTGCATAAGACTGCAAAGTGAAAAACTTTTGTTGGTATGATAATGAAGGACAGATATTGGCACAAATCACCTGGGGGAAATGGTAAATGTATCTTTAAAACACACAAGCAAAATTCCCCCAAGAGAAACAATACTGACTTCATAGACTTTTAACAGCTGGAAAACAGAAACATAATGAGATGTACACTTTAAGACCTTATGAACACATCATTAGCATTTGGCAATTGAGATGTTTTTCCATTTCTAAGGACTAAGGAAAACAAATATAATAATTGTATGATCAAAAGAAAACAAATTAATGCTAACACTAAAAATGTTAACACCCTTGAGTCAAAATAGAGTAACATTATGTTTGCCCAAATAAAAGTAACTCATCATATTTCACTCGGTTCACCATATCATGTAGAAAGGATTATCGATGATATTATTGCACTTTTCCATTTTAATGTTTCCTGAATATCACAGAAGTCAAGATTAATAATTTAAGAAAGTTGGAAGTTTGTCTAGCATATAAGATATGCAAGATTGGTTATCAGAGTATAGAGTATATTCTCCATGGTGAAAAATAATTAACAAATTAATGCCATAGGGTTGTATTTATTCTTCTTACTATGGAAATGATTATTTCTTAATTTCTGACTGTAACAATGAGCAGTGAATATGGGCTGCCAGTACATCAATTCAGTCCCATGCAACTGAACTTTTAGTGAGAATTTTACCATATGGAAAGCTCTGTGCTGTGGGCTTTTGCAGACAAGGTACATAGCACAGTGGTACCCCTGTAAACTCTAGAAGCAAAAAGTCCTAGGCTTTATGCCTGTAACTATTAAATTGTTAGACCCTGGGGGATTAATAACAGCATCTACTTTATAGAGGTATTGCTAGAATTAAATGAGAGAATGTAGATAAGGTATGCCACCATCCGGCACATGTCAATGCTCAGACATGTTAGTTCCTTTTGTTAATCAAAACAAGACAAGTCTACAGCCCTTGAAAGGAGATTTCAATTAAAGTGGTTGTTGAACCCAGATTCTCATAATGCAATGCATGATGTGGAAAATCAAAACTTTGCCCTGGGATTCAAACATTTGTGACATAAACCAAGAAAAGACATTCTAAAAATAAATGATAGACCTTTCAATAAAAATGTTTTAAAAGGAGAGAATAAAGAGGTAAGATGGTTAAATGGATCCCTCCAGTGCTGTGCCTCGCAACAGAAGTGAAAGAGCGGAACAGAAGGACCCAGGCTTTTAACAGGCTTTTCTCCCATTTCCCTCAGAACTCAGCCTGCTAAGAGAAGGACTAACCTCAACCAACAATCATGAAAACAGGGGAATCTGAACACAGCTCCTTCATGAACAGAAGTGTGAAGAGAGGAGAGAGAAATGATACTCAATAAGCACGGTTCCAATTTCATTTAAATTTGTATTAGCTCCTTGCCTAATTTTTGTTTCTATCTGCATTTCCTTGTATCTCATTGCATGTATTTCAATTTATTTACGCCCTTCAATTCAAAGAAAACTCTAGATGAGTGACCTTTTCTATTTAGTTTGTTTGGTACAGTGGCAAGCAAACTACATATGCCGGAAATGAAAGTAGAATCACGCACGTGCTTAACAGGTATTTTTTAAAAGTCATCAACTTTCAATAAGTTGCCCACAGGGGGCACAATACTTCTATTAGGTCTTGTAACTAATCCACTTAGGCTAAGAGGAAGACTTCTTTGAGAGTCTGGTTGTATTGTAACTTGTAACACTAATTGTACTTCCTTGGTCAAATTACTTGAGTTCTGTACATCTCGGTGTGCTCAGATGTAGAAAGAGAGACCTGTGCCCAATGATTTCATCAGACAATGTCAAATCTGAAATTATTTGATACTAATTCCATTCAAGGTCATTAAAACCTGAAAAATACATTTTACCCAGTAGCTTTCCTAACTCAAGCACAAATACCTGAAGGAGCACCTTCACCTTTGTTGATAATCTAAAACACTCAAGCCATGAACTCAAATATCAAGGAGACACCTCCCTCTCTAGATCACGACTTTTAATCAATGTTGTTGAGTTATATAAATATGAGAATATAAGATCCCAAGGAAATCAGTGCCTTGGCAGTGAGGTCAAAATGAATAAAAGAACATCTTAAAACTTTTAACATGACATAAAACTATTTTATGAACTATGAATTTTCCTCTTTCAGTGTGAAAATGAAATACAAACTTAGTGCAAAATAAATTACATAGAAATGACCTTGTAAGATCATGGTTGAAAACCAGGCAGTTAAAGCATCACCATTTGTTTGTACTTATGTAAAATTCAAGCTATAAGCCAGTGAGGTATTTATAATTTTTACATCTATCGATTCAAGCGACTTACTGAAATATACATAGATGGATCAGAATTATCAGTGAAAAATGAAAGGACAAGAGGAACAGAGGATGAACTTGAAAATATTTGTAGGAAAACGTCAGTTATGTCTTTGATGTCTTAAAATACTTCTAAGGCGCCCTTGTATCCACCCCATTCCCCCATCCTACTTCTCAAGCCCCTCCCATGTAAATTCTGGGCTTCAACTAATGAAATCCCTTCACCCTCCAAATAAATCCTTAAATAATAAATCTTTGGACAAATTGCTCTCAATGGCAACACGTGTCATTCTGTGTTAAGCTGACTTTCTTGTCTGCTCTCACCACTAGACTGTGAGATCTTTTAGGGTAGAAACTGTACCATTTCATCTTTGGGTGGCCAGTACCTAACTGAGAGTAGGCATTGAGTAAATATTGTTGAATAAATAAACGTAAGCATAACATTAGAGAAAGCACAGAGACTTTGATAAGAGAAATAGTTTACCGGAGCTTCTGGATAACATAATTTTTCTCCTTAGGACGACATGTTTATCTCTTGCTTCCATCTTGTGAGAGAGGGAGGATATGTATTTTTCTGGTAACTTGTAATAAAACCTTTGAAAAATAGAAGCTTACAGCTGTTCAAGAGGATTTTTGAGATAAGAAAATTTAATCTGAGTTAAAACAAATAATGAAAGATTAACCAATATTAGAGTTTTTAAAAAAGTCATATTCTTGACTAACTGAGAAACTATAGTAGAATACTGATATTTCAATATTTTGAACTTTGAGTAGTGTTTAATAGCATCATACCTTACTAAAGTTTAATGGTATTTCTCTCATTATTATTTTATGAGAGAGAAATTTTCACCTTCTCATAATATTGGTACTTAAAATATTATTTTTAAATAATATTTTAAATAATATTAAAATAAAGTTTTGCACCAACAAGCATATGAAAAGATGCTCAATATCACTAATCATTAGGGAAATGCAAATCAAAACCACAGTGAGATATCACCTCACACCCATTAGGATGGCTATATCAAAAAAAAAATACGATATTAAGTGTCAGCGGGAATGTGAAGAAATCAAAACTCCTGGACACTGTTGCTGGGAATGTTAAATGGTGCAGCCACTACGCAAAACAGTATAGAGGTTCCTCAAGAAATCAAAACTAGAATTACTGTATGATCCAGTAATTCAACTTCTGGTACATAGCCAAAAGAATTTAAAACATGGTCTTGAAAAGATATTTGCACACCCACGTTCATAGCAGCATTAGTCACAATAGCGAAAAGATGGAAGCAATTCAAGTATCCGTCAATGGATGAATGGATAAACAAGATGTGGTCTATACATACAATGGAATACTCTTCAGCCTTAGAAAGGAAGGACATCTGACACATACTACAACGTGGATGAACCTTGAGGATGCTATGCTAGGTGAAACAATCCAGTCACAAAAGACACTGTATGATTCCACTTACATGAGGTATCTAGAATTCATAGAAACAAAAAATAGAATGGTGGTTGCCAGTGGCTGGGGGGAGGCGGAGGTGCAGAGTT